CACAAGCCTCCCAGCCCGGTCTGACACAGGTTTGGCAGAGAAGAGGAGGAAGAAAGTGGACCTGGTGGAGCTAAAACGTGTGTACAAGCATCCAGCCGTGTTTGACAAGCCTTGTAAAAACAGTCTTTGAGGAGGAGGAAATGCGCAGGAGGAGCTGAAGGGAGTAAAGGGGACAGATCCGTCCTATTAAAATCTCTCTGGGGAGGGGGTTAAAGACGTTGCGAATTGCGCGCCCCTGACTACCCGCGAAGGATCGTCTGACAGCATCATGGAATATCTGAGACAGGTGTACAGACGACCGCAGGACCCGATTCACTACCGCGGTAACATCCAGGCCCTGCGGCGGGGGCGCCACGAGACCTAACCGTTTATCGCGGGTAACATTCACAACCATGCGGTGAGTGGGAACTGTTACATCACACAGACAAGGCTACTGGACTGGGTAAAGAATGGAGTCAATATAGAGGATTTCATTATACATGTACCTTTTAAGTAATCTCCAAGCAGATCTTTTGGTGGGGGTAAGAGTGACACCCGGTAAGACAGTATCAAATTGGCCAGTCTGTATCCATTTCCCCACCCAAGATCTGCCTCCAGTCGAAACATCAAAGGCTATTAACACCTAGTTGTTGCCTGATCAAAATATTCTTGCCAAGTAGTTTATTGCCCTGACCACCAGGCAAGGCTCTTGCCCTCCTAGTGGACCAGCTGGCTGAGCATTACTCTCTATGGGTCCCCTCACCAACTGTTATTTTGTTCAGTTTAACTAAAGGAAAGAAGGTCCAACATATGTTTTGTGATATCTGCGGTTTTGAACCACAATGAGCCCAGTCATTGACATTTCTATGTTTCAGCCAGCATATTTTAGTACCAGCATACAGTATTATCTGGACAGGGTTAGGCGAGAACTCCCACTGAGATGTGCGCGGGTGACTGCATTTGTCCCAGATTCAAGCTATAAACCGCTTGTAAAAATCTAAGCACAACAAATTTTTGATTGTTGTTAATAGGGACACAAGGAGGGGCAGCAACACCATTTTTGAAAAGAAGTGCTCCTCCCTGTTCGAGTGCCGGCAGATCTTGGGTGGGGAAATGGATACAGACTGGCCAATTTGATACTGTCTTACCCCCACCAAAAGATCTGCTTGGAGATTACCTTTTAAGGGGTCTTTGTCAAGGTCAATTTTATGATGTGTACCCTTTCAAGAAAATCTTCCAAAATGGAGTGTCATATAAGAAATTTGGAAAGTTCATTTCTGAAACTATTGAAGAACGAATAATAACAGGAGCGGTTCATTTATGGGGAAAGGTGGGGGAGTTGATCCTCCCCACCTAGTAATGCCTTTGACGGTTGAACCATCGAAACCCAGATTATGTGAGATTCCTCAATCCATTTAATACCAAATGACTCACATTAGGGGAGGGGGGGGGCTCAGAAGAGAAATAGAACACTGGAGCTTTCTGTGTAAATGTTGATGCCTGGACGCAGGAGAGGTCGTTGTCACATTAACGTTAAAGAGGCGTTAGCGGTAAAGCATGTTCTCGAGGCAGCAGCTAACAAGTGCACCGTCTATCCACCTCCGATCCACCACCAGTAGGACAGTATACAATAGCAGTCTTCAAAGCCACTAAACAATGATAGTTTTCTACAACCTGTGTTCATTGTGGCTTAAGCATTTATGTGGCTAAGTGTCAAAGCATGTCTATGCGTACACTTCTAATGAAACGGTGGAAACGCGAGTATCTATTGACCTTGATTGCTTTTAAAACGACAAAACTATGACTACTAACAATGGTGCAAATACACCGACAGATAAGTCAACTATCTTTTAATATTCAAGATGAAACTACCCTTGTCAAGGCCCCTTGCTGAAGGCATACACAGGAAAGGCAATTATATAAAGCTGTTGAGAAAAATCACTCCTTTCAGGACGCAGTCCTCTATTGACTCACCACTGAATCTAATACCGATAAGATCCCAACTCCACCCAACCAGGTGACAATAGAATAACGATCATCGCAAGAGATATCCAAAGATACTGCACGGATCTAGTACACATAGCCAATATTAAAGCAGACCAAAAGGCGTTAAAAGTTTAGCAAGAGAGACAGAAAGGCTTATTTGAAAAAAAGAAAGGAACCAAAGGGTGTCTCTTGTGATGGTAAAAGGAAAGCTGTACGAAGAAGAGACAAGACCACGACAAGTCGCCACAATGAAGAAAACACCAATTGCACTGTCCAGCGTGAATGTATGGAGGTTTCCGATGCCATGTTCTGTTTGGCCTATTATGTGGTAGACCGGACCAAACAAAAATAGTAACCCCTAAAGAGGGGCACACAGAACGATAGATAAACCGCTCTACCTGGTGAGACAACTATGTCATCCCAGCCAGGTAAGCACACACGACACCACAGTCCGTTCGCAGGTACGACGTCCTGCCCATGTTCTACTTGGCCTATTTTATGGTAGACCGGACCAAACAAAAATAGTAGCCCCTAAAAAGGGACGCACAAAACGATAGATAAACCGCTCTACCTGGTGAGACAGCTATGTCATCCCAGCCAGGTAAGCACACACGACACCACAGTACGTTCGTAGGTACGACGTCCTGCCCATGTTCTGCGTGCAGTCTATCGAGTACGAACTGCACAAAGATGAGCTGACTCCCAAGTTTCAGTCTGAGCTTTTAAAGCCATGCGCGGCGGAGTAATACAAATTTACAGAATGCGATCATAACTTCGGACATGCAGCTGTTGTTGTGTTGCGTCACAGTCAGTGGAGAAAAAAATTCCATGCGCTTGCAGAAAATAGTACCAACGACTTTTCATAGAAATTATTTGATTTTTTTATATATGCTTGGTTATTTGAAAAAAAAGTGCAATTATATTCTGCTTAATCTAGTTTTTCTGTCAATGAGCTAATCCACGGTTACTGTTTTAAATTGGGGGCTTGTAAAATCAGGTCAAATACGTTATCGACTGAGTCAATAGGAAACGCCCGATTTTTTGGCGCGCTTTGTTGTAATCAGATATGCTCACACCTGGCCATGCAGCTGGGCCCGGCTGTTGCATTGCATCACTGTCAATGGCAAACAATATCCGTGCGCCTACAGAAAATAGTACCCAACGGTAAACTATTTGATATATGATTCTAAGCCATGCATTTTAGTCCTTAATGGGTTTTAAACGTAAGCTCAGTGTTAGCTGACTAAATATTTTCTTTTGTCATTTCCACTTCAAAAACTGGCTAGACATTTACGCGGATTTATATCAACGAGCACTTCGGTCGTCTTTAAAGACTCCCCTTCCAGTTATTTTCATTAGATGCCACATCGTCGGATGTGGAGATCACGAAAGCGCGTATTTTGGTGGACTTTGTATTTTTGGATCCAAAATACGCATATTTGTAGTCTGCTTCCTCTAGTTTTATGTCAATAAGTTAGTTCATGGTTTCTGTTTAAAACTGCAGCTTGTAAAGTCAATGTTTGTGTGAGGGTCTACTTTTATTTACCATATCGTGTTCGTCAAGATTGAATCCCTCCCCTCCCCCTTCTACCTACTCTACCATTCTACCTTTTATTGCCATTTATTGTTTGCACTTGTTATTGTTGGTAGGTTGTCCTTATCCTCTTGGTGAAAACTGAGCTGAAGTGGTCCCCCAAGGCTTCTGCATTCTCTCTAGGATCAGATGTCATGATCCCCTTGTGTAATTTGATGTAATTTCAAAAAGCTTTGGGGTTTTCCCGGATGTTTTCGAGGTATGTTGACACATACTCATTGTGTGCCTTCTTCATTCTTTGTTAATCTCCCTTACTATTGTGCATGATGTAAACTTTGACCAGGCCTCTTGGTTCTTACTTTTCTTGGCTGTTAGTGTATAGTTCTCCCATGTTCCTCATGACCCTCTTAATTTGAGGTGTGATCCATGGTTGGTTATGTTGCTGTCTTAGTCTCCTCCTTGGAATGTTTGTTGCTGATGTCAAGAAAGTTGTCTTAAAATCATCCCGGTTCTCTGAGACTGTTCTCTAAGACTGTTCTGTGCCTTTCCTTGAACAACTTAGAAAGGCCACGGAAAAAGGGACCCGCTCAGTAGAGAGGTTTGGCGAGTAGATATTACATATTTTAAAATTACGTACTCCGTCCGACAATACTGCCGACACCACACGACCCTCCCCATCGCACAATTTTTTGACAACGTGAAAACCTATGTCGAGGGAGAGAAGGATTCCACCACCACACGACCTGGTAGAGCCCAACGACCAGAGAGCCTGGCCACCCCATTCCTTTTCCCTACGTAGCCCACAGACATTTAAAGAAGCAATGAGGACCATTGCTATGGCTAGCACTGCTCACAAACATGTAACTTAATTATTTAAAGAATTGGGTAACCAGTCAATATAATACGCATCATTGTCACTCTGCTCGCTGGGGAAATTAACGATGGCAGAGCCAAAACCATCCTCCTCGGTGGGCTCACCAACCCGGAGCTTTTTGCCCTTCCCCAGCACAAAGGCAGGATCAGAGCCTTCACTAGTATCAGTTCTGACACGCTTTCGCGTGTCGACATCCACAGTATTCTGACAATTCTGGTCAGAGCAAATAAATGTTCTGACACCCTCACACGAGGGACCCTCACAGGTCTGAAGTGTTACACCACCCGGGGCAAAATCAACTCCGCACTTACTACATTCGATGATAGTCTCGGAAACATGGTGAATATCACCGCACGAGGCACACCCAAAATCCTCAACCAACAGAGGCTTCCTGGCCCTCCGTCCTGCTGGAGCCCAGCTGAATCCTGCTCGCAAAGGACAGCAACCATTCTTTATTATTATTCTCCACTCAAAAAATGTACATCAGCAGGGGGGAGTACAAAAAGCACCCCCTCTGAATTAGGTACAAATTTTCACATTGCCCTCATTGAAATATTTCACACAACACATCTACTTAAAAACATATACAAAGACACATACAAGGACTATTTACAATATATACACAGTTTATGCCGATTTCTGCAGTGAGTCGTTGTACAGTCTGATCGCGCAATGCAGGAAGGACTGCTGCAGACGCTTGGTTCTTGCGTGAGGGATCGTGATGTCGTGGCTGTTCCTCAGGGATCTGCCTGTGGCTGAGTGTCTTTGGACAGGAGCCAGGTCATGCAGTGGATGATCCGGCCTTAGCATGGCCTTGAAGAGGGTCACTGCAGCGGCTTCTCTCCTTTCCTTCAGGGAAGGCAGGTCCGGAACGGAACGCCTGCCGCCGCGTGAGATAATCCGGAGGGCGCGCCTCTGAACCCTCTCCATGCTAGCCGCAAGGTCCTCACTGCAACCCACCAACAGGACATGTCCGTACTCCAGAACAGGGCGGATGAGACTCAGGTACACCTGGATGAGATCTTCCACGCTCATCCCCTGTTTTGTTAGCAGACGGAGGTAGTGAAGCCTGCTCGAGGCCTTTGACACCGTAGACCTCACATGTTCACGCCAGGAGAGCTTGTCGTCAAAGATGAAGCCAAGCCCCTTGGCCACGTTAGTGACTGGAACAGGTTCGCCACCGAGAGACAGAGGTGGTAGAACTGGTATGTTTCTGCTAAAGCAGATCAGCATCGCTTGGCTTTTCTTGCCGTTCAGGAGCATCTCGTTGCGGTCCGCCCAGGTGTCAAGCTGCGACGCTTCCTCTGTCATAGTAGTGTCCGAGCCAGCATTCTTCAGAGAGACTGATCTGGACAAACTCACGTCGTCTGCGTAGCCCACGTCTATAGTGTCGCTATGGACCACTTCGCGTGAGCTCATAAACAGAAGGAACAGATAGGGCGATAACACTCCACCTTGCGGTACCCCAGACGTAAGCTGCCGCCAGCCACTGAACTCGCCGTTGGCAGCCACTCGCTGAGTGCGACCATGTAGGTAGTTTTGCAACCACGCTACCATCCGTGGACTTGGCACAACGTCGTTCACCCGCTGTAGTAGTATTGCGTGGCTCACCCTATCAAACGCTTTGCTCATGTCAGCAAAAAGAGTCTGAACACAGGTTTGATCCCTGGAGTCGAGAGCGCTCAACCATATATGGATCATCCTGATGACGGCGATGACGGTGGACGAGCCCTTGAGGTAGGCATACTGGTTGGTGATGACAGGTGTGATAGACGGGAGGAGTCTCTTCAGTATGCACCTTTCCAACAACTTGGCTAGGACAGGGAGGAGAGACACAGGTCTCATGTCGCTGGGTTTGGTTGCTCCCTTTGACTTTGGAATGGGGACTACGTTTGCTGCCTTCCAAACACTCGGTACCTCCATAGGAAGCATTGAAGAGGTGAGTGATGACGGGAGCAAAGTCCTCTGCGTACCCCTTAAGTGTCCAGGTAGGAAGATAGTCCGGACCACTAGCCTTGTTAGGGTTTATGTCCTTGAGTAGGGCCATGACTTCCCCGATCGAACATAGGTCCACAGCTTCGGTGGGGCGTTGGAGAGGAAACAGGTACAGAGCATGGCCAGGACACCACGCCTCGGAGAAGTGCTGGTTCAGAACGTCAGCAACATCCCGGTCTGGCACATTCTCAATGGTGGTGCGGTTGGATCACTCTTGAGACCTGCCAAGTTCTCGATTGACAAAACTCCACCATTTGCGTGGGTTCTCCAGCTTAAGGTACTGGATAAAGTTCCGGTAGTACCAGAACTTTGCCTGCCTTATGATGGTCTGGGCTCGGTTTCTGAGACTCTTCCAACGATCAGATTTCCCATGATCATAACCAGTTATTATGAAATCGTCATTATATTCTCGTCACTTTCTAAGACTACAAAGTGAACGTAACACTGAAGTAAAACGACGTCTAAGGTGAACTAAACAAATAATACTAAATTACAACGACGTCATCCAAAATCCAAGATACCACGAAACTAAAACTCTTTAAAATTCCGGGAGGTTAAGATAAAGGCCAACCTTACAGGCCAACTGATAACCTTTAAGAAATGACTGTCGATATCATCCAGCCATATGTCTTATGGATATCCAACTCAGAAATATATAATTCAACTTCTGCTGCCTTAGGTTATAGACGAAATAATCGTGCATCGTTCAAGTAATCGAGGTTTGGTAGTCTGGAATTAGTATAGTGAATTGTCGATTGTTGCGAAAAATATTTGTTGAATTCTGAAGCCTTTTAACTTGAATCATATATGCCTATGGTTGTAACACTAGAGTGGGGGAATTGTAGTTGAGCTTTGTATGTGCAAATGCCTTTCATATATGCCACCATGTTTTACAACCTAGGTTAACCAGAGAATTTTTAAGCGATTATTGTATTCCAATTGTATAAGTTTATTTCGAATCTTGCGACAGAAAGCCTAAGGTGAGGGGTAATTGGATAATTTTGCTCTTCTATCTGTTTTATTTTATCTATTTGTTTAGGTGCTTTATCCCGTAAAAGCAGAAGTATTTTAATCCGAGGAGACATCCCTGGCTTAACACTTGGTCAAATGATGATATTTTTGTGCGGAACGCATTTTGTCCTTGTTTTAGAAATGAAGTAAATTAGCATGACAGGCACTGTCAACGGCGTCACAATAAAATACTGAGTACATTGAACCATTACATATCAGTAGAGGATTCAACAAGGACAGTTTAGTCAATATTAGAGAAATCCAAAACATACGTACGGTTGAGGGAGTTTGATATCAAAGTCGAAACCGGCGATGATGGGGCAGCGGTGGCAGTCAGACAGGTGAGAGCACTGTCCTCTGAAAAAGGAATGCTCTGAGCTTTAAAACATCACATTAATTAAGGTACAAAAATCAATTTCAAGGTCAGAAGACTGGTGGCTTTTCAGGCATTGCAGTAGTAAATGACCATGTTAATAACTTTATTCGCAAAATCATGGCCAAGGGCTAATTGCTTTTACAATCAAGTATAATCGGTTAGCATCGGCAGGCATCACTTTCACAGATTCCTGTGGAATGTTCTCCTCTCCTCCTACTGTTGTCTCCTCTCCTCCTCCCCTTTCATGGCGTCTTCAAGGGTCAATTTCCTGACAAGGACGCAACATTTATTTTGTTCATTGCTATAGAGAGTAAATGCGTCTCTTCAACGATATAGAGAGTACACTTTGGGATAAATTGTGTTTCGTCTTTCACATTATTTAACGCACAGTATTTACAAATTGTTTCATGGGATTTCTTATACCGCCCTTTCTCTATTTCAAGAGTATGGGTGCTGATTTGGATTTCGCTTATTGAGAGCGGAAGTTAAAATGAATTCAATCCACGGATTTTTGCTTGTAATATGTTTTTTTTTTTTGGTTAAACCTTAACTTTCCCTAATTAATACAGTTCAGCTTTATCTAGGGTTACAGTCCTGCCAATAGCAGACGGGCATCCGACCACCTGTCGGCACGATTCAGGTACTTTTTCCTCCGCTTAGCGGGTACTTTTTCCACCGTCACTGTCGGTAGATATACATGATCCAGATTCGGTCACGGTCCACAGCAATGAGAGGGACACAGGTTCTCGTATTGAAAAGACTTTCAACTGTGGTTCCACTACTAGGTTCTGTACTGTTCACAACCAAGAACTTTGTTCATTCTAATGTGGAATAGACAATTAGTTGACTTTTACAAGCTGCTGTGGGCTCCGGTCTTCTGGATCGTGAAACCAAAAGGCCTCGATCCTTCCAAGACATATTGGTAGTATGTTGTGCCGTCTTGATGCACGGCATTAGTCGCTCTGGGGTCAGGATTGTTAGTTAGAATATCACAATTTATCTGTAGATCAAGAGGACCTATCCTCTTCTTTCGCGGTGAGTGTAACACAGGTTCTCAGATTGAAAACGTTCTCCACTGTTATTCCGCTGCAGGGCTGAGTGGAGTCAACGTGCCACAAGTTGGTTTCTTTATCTCGGCGGGGCGTAGCAAACCAGAATACTTTGACAAGCTGTTATACCCTGTCCTGTGGCCTATCATGCAGCCAGAATGCCACAACTCGTCCTATCCAGTAGTACTGGATTTCCCCGCCATACTGAACTTCATTTGTTGTCCCAGGTATGGGATTGTTATCCGTAAAGCGGGTAAACAGAAGCTTGCCGTAGTCTTGGCGGGGTGAGATCGACGTGGCGCTTCCCCTTCCCACCACTGGGTCCTGAGATGTATGACGTATTGTTGGTTCCGGTCTGGTACGGCAGCCTTGTGGTAAACAACTACTTCTGGCTGCTCCTCGCATGCACTGTCAGTGAAGCTAATGGTAAAACAGACAACAAAATGTTTCAGTAACGGAGCTCTGTCACAAAACCGTTTGTGTGAAATGACGTCTTGGAAAGGAAGTTGACTTTGTTTGGATTCCATGCACAGTTAGTCCATTTATGCTAGAGTTGTAACAAACGTTTTGGGCTAGTATATCCAATCCATAAACAAACAAATACGGTTATAGCGGATATCCTTGACAAACGCCGCGATGGAGTTGCGTTTGTATCCCTGTGATGATCTTCCAGGAATAATTCCGCTTACCTTAACTAAAGTACTTATTACATCGTACCGAGAATTCCATCCAATCTGCCCTATGAGCATACAGCTTTGTTCATACAAACAATACAAAATCTACTCATTGCATATGTTCAAGGATCACCAACCTAGTAAACATTTACTAGGAGTTCAGAGTCCTCCACATCCAATACTACATGCTGACAGTCGCTAAACAGCCACCTCGCTAAAGCGCGTGTGAGAACTGGTATCTCCAATCACTATATGGTCATAGTCGTCCTCGCGTTCACCCTAACGTTGCCGTCCGTTGTAAGCCCTCTCGAAGTCATCGATTTGGATGTAGTCTTCGAAGAGATGTGTCAAATCTGCAGGCAACTGTTGGTTGTACTTCACAGCCTGGCCAGCAAGGACCCATTATTCAGTTCCCCTTGTGAAATGAATGTCTCACATTACTTTGGGTGACCAGACTTTTCACATGGTCCTGTGTGAGCAAAAGCTTGTGTTAGTTAGCACCTCCATCTGAAGTTTCTTCAAACAAGCTTCAGCAGCAGTGGCTACCCCAACAATGTAGTGCTTACTGCAAAAACACTGATCGTAGCTCATCTCTCTCCACAACTGTCTTTTCATCCCAAGATGGAACCACCTTCTGCAATGCTTCTGCTCTTATTTCATCTAGTCTCTTGTTGAGAAATTTATTTACTATGTGTCTGTCACTTATTGTGTTCTTCAGACACCCGTAGTTCATCAGCACTAGCAGAACTGCAGAGGTAATGTCTGAGATTATTTTTTGGAACATTTCCACCTGCTGGTCAGTGTTACCTAAAAGTTAGTCTCCAACTGCTTATACATACTGGCCCTTCTTGATGAAGAAACTAACAGAGCCGTCCTTGTCGTCCTTTTTGGTTGTTCCATCTGTGCCTACTGTGATGTCTTCACATCTGCTAACCACGGCCACATCAATCTGACTTAGGCGTCTTGCTTCTGCAAACATCAATTGTGCAGTAGAGTATTTGGGAAGCCTCCCTACCTCAAGACCAATTAGTTTTTGTAGCACTGCTCGTATGATTTGTTCAATGTTTTTCCATCCAGTATTGAATGCTTAACAACATCATGTACACTTGACTAACCTCATCAGTGAATCTGCCACCTTCAACTGTGTTGACATCTAAAAAGAGTTAAGGCAGGGAAGTGATGTAGATATCTTCATCACACATGTAGACATGCGTAGATATCATACAGCGGATGGAACCTCGCTAGGGATTTGTATACTTAAATCTCTGCACGAAATAGGCTATTTAAGCAGTCTTAAAGCATACTTAAGGGATCCGTTTTGGCATTCTTTAAGCATATTTAAGAAATCTTTACTAGTGCTTAAATATCACGTTTAAGCTAGTTTTAAGTTTGTCCGTAATGGAGCTTAATTGTTCTCTTTTAAGCAACATTTAAGCACTGTAAAGTAAGCTTAAATATTGATATTTAAGCTACATTTAAGCGTCCTAAAATGTCCTTAAAAGTAGTGATTTAAGCTAACTTTATTAGTCCGTAAAGGTGCTTAATGGCACTCATTTAAGCAAGTTCTAAGCACCGTAAACTCAACCTAAATCTTAATGTTTACACTACATATATTAACTACATATATTAAGCTCCTTAAAGTGCCGTGATTTAAGCTATCTTAATTTGTCAGTAAAATGCGTAATGGCACTTATTTAAGCCACCCTTAAACACTATACGTTTAATACTCGTTGTGTACCAGTATTAAGCGTACTTTAAAATGCTTAAAAGATTTACGAAGCGTAAATTAAGCGTTATATATTCATGTTACAACATTAAATCTTGTAACTATGCTACCCTAAATATTCCCAAATCGTACATAATATGCCGTCAACATTCTTTTTATTCGTTCAAGGATAACAAAAACAAAACCAAACACAAATGACTAAAAATACTTTGATGGAGGTAAACTACTTTAATAATTTCCTGGCGGACTCAAAGTACGTTGATAAATGATAGGCATCCAAGATAAATTACTGATATCATTTCCTGATATTTTTGAATGAAATGGCATAATTACATGAACAGAGCTACATGTAAGGAACAAAAACTATTAAAGAAGACACAGTCTCAAAGCCTAATCCATACAACTACTGTCCTGGCTATCCTCCTCCCCGACTTCCATGTCTGGTGTGGAATTTCGTCCGTACCGCTAACTGATTTTCCACTTCTGGGCCCGTCAGGAAGCTTTCTCTCTAAGA